GAGGACGCCTTCCGCGCCCTCAAGAAGGCGGTGACATGCGCACTGGTTCTTCACCTACCCGATTTTGACCGCCCTTTTATCCTTACCACCGATGCGTCACACTTTGCTGTAGGAGCAGTGCTTTCTCAGGTCTTCCCCTCCTCTCCTGATTCCTCTCATCCTCGTATCCCTCACTTCCCACCACCTACCCCTACCACTGCTTCCCGACTGATGCCTACTCGTCCAGCTACTGACGAGTCTTCTATTGACTATTCTCCTACCATCGCCGAGGACGGCACTGTCGAGTCTCGCTCAGGTGATTGTCCGATAGCCTTTTATTACCATCAGCTCTTGCCCGCCGAGATAAACTACACCGCTGATGAACGTGAGGTTCTCGCAGTAGTTTATGTCGCTCGACACTGGCATCACTACCTGCACGGGGCACCGTTCACGGTGCGTACGGACAACTTTGTTGTCCAGGCTTTTCTGACAAAACCGAAGTTCACTCCTCGACAGGCTCGCTGGTGGCGTGACCTATCCGAGTTTAGTTTCACCACTTAGCACATCAAGGGTGAGACTAATCGGGTCGCAGATGCCCTATCCCGACGCCCTGACCACGACCAGAAGCAGATCCAGATCTCTTCCATCTCGGTCACCACCGTCCACCACTCGGTGATCGACGAGTTTCGCACTCAGTACCGCCACTGCCCCGACTATCGCGACATCCACGCGACCCTTCGGAGTGGCAAGACCGTCCCGAACTACTCTCTCGAGGATAACAGTCTTGTGTATTGACACAGTTCATAGGGCACCAGAGAGCCCCGTATTTGCGTTCCCTCCACTGGACAGCTACGTGTCCGAGCAGTAGCAGAGTTCCATGACCAGGCAGCCGCCAGTCATATGGGCTTTCACAAGACGTTGGCTCGTGTGAGCCGCCTGTACGTCTGGCCGAAGCGCAAAGACTTTGTGAAGGACTACGTCGCAGAGTGTCCCACCTGTCAGGAGGTGAACAGTGCGAACCACCTTCCTTATGATTTGCTCCAGCCTCTTCCTATCCCTGAGGGTTGTTGGCAGTCCATCTCGATGGACTTTATCAGTCCTCTTCATCCTCCGACCCCCCGCGGTCATGATGCTATCCTGGTCGTCGTCGACCGCTTCACGAAGCGTGCACGCTTTGTTCCGTGCCGCTATGCCATCAGTGCACGTGAGGTCGCCGATATCGTGTTTGATCGAGTCGTGCGCGACCACGGCTTACCTCTGAGCATCATATCCGACCGTGACCCGCGCTTTACCAGCCGATTCTGGCGACGGCTCCACGAGGTATATGGCACTCAGCTCCGCTTCTCCTCGTCTTACCATCCTCGAACTGATGGTCAGACCGAGATCACGAACAGGACTCTCGGAGATATACTCCAAAAGATTGTTCGTGACGACCAGCAATAAGAGCTCCATCTTGCCCACGCGGAGATAGCCTACAACCACGCCGTCTCGCCAGCCACGGGGATGTCGCCTTACTATTGCGACCTTGGTTATCACCCTCGTGTTCCCGCGGACTTCCTTCGACCGTCCCAGCTGCACCCCGACACGAGTTGTCCCGCGCTGGATGATTGGGTTGCACACATGACGTCGATCATGAAGACCGCACATGAGCACATAGCCGCTTCCCAGACTCGCATGGCATCACGTGCGAACCGATCAAGGATGGATCATCCATTCAAAGTCGGTGATGTTGTGCTTATCGACACCCGCCACTTACAGCTCGAAGCGGACACGCTTCGCAAGTTTCGGCGTCGCTTCTTTGGCCCATGCCGCATCCTCCAGGCCGTCAGTTCTGATACGGTTTCTAGCCCGGTCAGCTTCCGTGTGAAGCTGCCCGACTATCTATGCCAGGCTCGTGTGCACGATGTCTACCACGTCTCGTTATTGCGTCCTTATTGCAGACCGTCTGAGCGTTTCGTTGGACGACCATACGAGCGCCCTCCACCCATCATGGTGGATGGCCACGAGGAGTTCCTCGTTTCAGACATCATTGGTCGCTGAGTCACCGACGACAACCCTCCCCATGTCGAGTATCTCGTACGTTGGAAGGGTTACCCTGATGAGGAGGCTACCTGGGAGCCCCTCGAGCACTTGCAGCACGCTCGCATGTTGGTGCGTGCCTATGACCGTGCTCATCGTGTCGGGTTCACTGCTCCTCCTCAGCACACTGACCCTCCTCCTCCCTCGGTTGAGGAGACCGCTGAAGTCGAGCCTGGTCCATTTGAGGCAGACCTTCAGCAACAGCCGGATGCTTCTGAGCGTCCACAACGCACTCGTCGTCGTCCTGCTCGATACGACGATTGACTCTGACTTACCTTCCCACGTCTTTGACTTCTCAGTACTTCATCCACTCCAGTTTTGCTACTTCAGCTCGTCGACGTTGCGGCTCTTCCTCGACGGCATTCCGGACTTCTCATCGTGGACGTCATCGGCAGCTTCATGGACCTCGTCACGATCAGCTCTGCCTACTTCAGACGTCGCC